AATGGCTGAAAAATATGGCTGAGAATGAATTAAGGAAGAGAAAAAAATGCCCTCCAAATAATGAAAAAACAGTATCCCTCATAGACTCTAACCATTGATTTTAAGATTTGCCATTATTGTATGTACCACTAAGACAGAGAACACTAAACTATGACATATAAGTAACTATAAGATACATATTGATCTCAGAAGTGTTAAAATATGAAAAATGTGTATCTTATATTAATGAAAAAATCAAAGAAATTCCAAATGCTTAAGGAGGAAAAATGGGAGGGAAAGAAGGGGAGAGCAGGGATAAAGAGTACAATAAAAATTTTGAAAATGAGGGGCGCCTGGGTGGCTCAGTTGGTTAAGCGACTGCCTTCGGCTCAGGTCATGATCCTGGAGTCCCGGGATCGAGCCCCGCATCGGGCTCCCTGCTCAGCGGGGAGTCTGCTTCTCCCTCTCCCGCTCCCCCCTCTTGTGCTCTCTCTCTCTCTCACTCTCTCTCTCAAATAAATAAATAAAATCTTTAAAAAAAAAATTTTTTTGAAAATGATAAAAACCACGTAAATATTAAATGAAGGAAATATAAAAATAAAATCAAGAATATTAATCATTACACTAATTATTAAAGGATTATTTAATCAAAAAACAGACTACCAAATTACATCAAAAAGTAAAACCTAGGGGTACCTGGGTGGCTGAGTCTGAGTATCCAACTCCATTTCAGCACAGGCCAAGATCTCAGGGTCATGAGACTGAGCCCCACATCAGGCTCCGCACTTAGCGTACAGTCCATTTGTCCCTCTCCCTCCCCCTCTGCTCCTCCCACACACCCCCAGCCCCTTGCCACCGCTTGCACACACATGCACACAATCTCAAATAAATAAAATCTTAAAAAAAGTAAAACCTAGCTACATGCTATTTATTAGAAACCCTGTAAACAAATGATAAAGAAAAATGTAAATGGGATAACAAGTATACACAAAATACAGAAAAAGCAAGGGTATCAATACTAACAGACAAAGGAGAATTTAAGGTTACAAGCACTATTTGAATAGGATAAAAAAAAAGGGGCAGTATTACTAATAATTAGTGAGGTTATAAATCCATAATCTTATATGCAGTACACATAGCAGAGAAGTACATAAAGAAAAAATCGGAGGTGCAAAAATAATTTGGTAAAAATTCAATTAAAATTGGAGACTCTGGCTTATCTTTTCTAGAACTGATACATCTAGTACAGAAAAATAAAAGTGATCATATAGGGTGCCTGGGTGGCTCAGTCAGTTAAGCGGTCAGCTCTGGGGAGGGCAACCCCTATTTTTAGTATGCTTTGCTGGAGCCAGAGAAGCAATAAAGATTTTGTCTCCAATTACCAGGTTCCTGTCTTCTGACTGCAGAGCTGCAGGCACAGAGGCTGGTCACCAGTAATTCAACCCCCACCAGCTAAAATGATCTCCACTCATACCTATTTCTTTAAATATTCAAAAACAACCATGTATAGAGAAAATTAAGAGAGCTGCTATACATGCCCAGGAAAAAACACAGGCTCAGAAAGGACCTGTAAAACCTTAACTTTCACCATATGCTCATCCCTGCACAGACATACTCTATAAAAATATAACAAAGAGCAAACCCTAGAGAAAAGGGAGAATGTGATTTCCAGAGTTATCACATAACATTCAATGTCCAGTTTGCAACAAAAAATCACAAGGCATACAAAGAAACAAGAAAGTGTGATCCATTCAAAGGAAAAAAATAAATCAACAGAGAACATACATGAGGAAACCTGTGTATCAGACTTACTAGACAAAGACTTTGAAAACAACTGTCTTAAAGATGCTCAAAAAGCTAAAGGAAGATGTGGACAAGCAAGAAAATGATCAATGCACAATATGCATAACAATAAAGAGATAAGTTTTAAAAAGAGCCAAACAGAAATTCTGGAACTGAAAGGTACATTAACTGAAGTGAAAAATTCACTAGAGGGGTTTGAAAACAGATGTGCACAAGCAGGATAAAGATACAGCAAATCTGAAGATAGGACAATTGAAATTACAAAGCTTCAGAAAAATGAACAGAGTCTAAGGAACCTGTGGAATATCATCAACACATTGGGGACCAACACCACTTTCTGCAAAACACAGGACAGAGAGAAAAAGGAAAAGAAATTATGGCTGTAATAAGCAAGGCAAGCAATACAGGCTATAGTATTTCTAATAATACTAATGTATTTCTCTTATGATTTCTTTCATAATTTTTTCTCTAGCTTACTTTACTGTAAAAATATAGTATATGACATATATAACATACAAAATATTTGTTTATCACTCCTTATGTTATCAGTAAGGCTTCTAGTTAATAGTAGGCTATTAGTAGTTAAATTTTGGGAACTCAAAAGTAGTAGCTTCTATGCTGAGTTCCTTAGATGTCATTAAGAAAAATGGGCTGCTAATCTTGCCAAAAAGAGGACAGAAAATTGTCACCTCATGGTAACACAAACCATATGACCTTATGATACGGGAAAAATAAGACATCTCATGGAATAATGTAACATAGTTTATGGTTGACCCACAGGTAGGAATCTCCCCCCATCTAAGCAACAAAGCTTTAATGCAAGTGCTCATTCCACACTGGAACCTCAGCAGCCAGAGGCCACTCTCACCATCCCTCCACACTCGATGCCCTCCTTCAACCACAGCTGAAGGCTTCAGGACTTTGCATTCATAGGGCCTGAATGCTCCTCTAGAACCTGGCCCTCTTATGATTAAATCCTGTTTTAGAAGACAGACTGGAAATGAATCATCAGAAACTATGGTTTTACTTAGAAAGACTTCAAAACTCCAAAAAACTTTTAGAACGTAACTCAGTCAGAACTTGGAGACTTCCTTCAATAAGTATGATGAGATTCAACAACCAGGATTCTGCCTTATTTTATAGTTAACCAAGTATTTCTTTTATTTTCCTACCATGTTTCACGAAGGAAGATTATCTTTGTATAACCTACACTACCAAGCACCATACCTATCATCAAGATGTTACCAATGATTCTTTTTTTTTTTTTAAAGATTTTATTTATTTATTTATTTGACAGAGACAGAGACAGCGAGAGCAGGAACACAAGCAGGGGGAGTGGGAGAGGGAGAAGCAGGCTTCCTGCTGAGCCAGGAGCCCGATGTGGGACTCGATCCCAGGACCCCGGGATCATGACCTGAGCCGAAGGCAGTCGCTTAACCAACTGAGCCACCCAGGCGCCCCACCAATGATTCTTTTTAAAATGGCCTGACCAAGATGCCAAGCAATTTGTGAGTATTCAACAATATTAAAACTATTGTTTTTTAATGACAAATAATTACTAATTAGAAAAATAATAATTTTTTTTTTTAAAGATTTTATTTATTTATTTGAGAGAGAGAGCACATGAGAGGGGGGAGGGTCGGGAGGGTCAGAGGGAGAAGCAGACTCCCTGCCAAGCAGGGAGCCCGATGTGAGACTCGATCCAGGGACTCCAGGATCATGACCTGAGCCGAAGGCAGTCGTTCAACCAACTGAGCCACCCAGGCGCCCTAGAAAAATAATTATTATAACAGAACAAAGTCCTTAGCCTAAAATTAAATGGCCATGAAAAGATTTATAAAATTTATCAAATACCACATTTTGACAAAATCAAGATTAATAGATACTGTCTCCCTTCTCTCATTGGCCATCTCTAACCAGCTGAGGGCTGGACTATTAACTAGATATATTATAACTCCATGACTATACGTAATTATAACTCAGATGACTATACATATGACCAAGCATCCATAGACTGTCTTAGGAGGAAAAACCCATCAACTCTGAACACTTGCTCTGGTTACCTGAGGCAAGGGGTTCTGTACTGTTTGTACAAAACTGGTTCTTTGGATGAGTAAGAAATTCTTGAAGCTGCTGACTAAGCAACTTTTGGATAAGTAAAATATTCCTATATATAAGGAAAAGTACTATACTGTAGAATGCAACCACTGTACTAAGAATTCAGAAAAATAAATGTAGTCTAGAGTTACTGAAAAGTAACCAAGGACTTCCTGAAAGATTGCAAAGATTATCAGAATCTGGATTAGGGAAGAAAGGAAGAAAACAAAATAGGAACAGGGATTTGTAGAAGAAACATACAAGAGAAAAACAGATTAATATGGGGCCAGATTATAAAGCATTTTAAGGATTATTAATTTGAAACACTGAGGCACAGAAAATATTTTATGTATTATATAAATTAAAAGCCATTGTAACAAAATTAACCTGTTGTTGACAAATATAATGGAATGGCACAATAAATCAGACATGAGGTAGTAAGCATCTTCAATTTGAGTAGTGGTAAAGGAAATAAAGAGGAAACCTAAGACATAGTCCTGAGAACACACTGAGAGAAATTAGGTTTTCTGAGCTTCACTGCCTTTAAAATGACAATTCCATCATCACTTACTGCCTTAATCAAAAAGGATTACTATGAGGATAAGTAACTGTCTCTATATATACCAACACACATTCCCTCTAAATTAAAAATCATCATACAACCCTGAGGCATACATTACTTTTAAAAAGGGGACAAAGAATTGGTAAGAGTCAGAAATGACTACCAAGTTTCAAGTGTAGGAGTAATGGGTTGTTATTAACAAACAGAAAATAATGAATGGAAAACAAACATGCTTGAGCAAGGTTAAAGATCAACAGTTTGCTTTTTTATTTAATGTTCTGTTACCAAGCTGAAGAACTTTTCAAATGAATGATCTAAATGCAAGTCAAAAATATTTAAATTTAAGAAAACGTATGTAATTATGTATTTAATATAATCTTAGTAATCTCAAAGATACGTACCAACACACACATAAAACATTATCAGTAGAGAAACTTCTTAATATTTTTTCTATATTTTCCAGAAATCAGCAGTTGTTACTATGAAAAAAACCTGATATCATTCAAAAGGCTTTTTATCCTTTTCATAGAAAATTTGAAGAAAATGCATATAAACTTACTCTGCCATGATGTGGGACAATACCCTTCAAACTGTCTGCCCTTTCTTTCTCTTGTTCAATTCTCTGAGTACTAGAAGAACATGATAATACACCATCTATATGCCTTCTACTATCTCCAGTATCTACAAAATTACCTGAAATACAAGAAAAAAAATTAATAGAGCAATGTCAAAGTCTCAGTAATCTAATAACTGCTTTTTTTTTTTAAGATTTTTTATTTATTTTATTTACTTGAAAGAGAGAGACAGAGATAGTGAGAGAGAGCACAGGCAGGGAGAAGAGGGAGATGCAGGCTCCCCGCTGAGCAGGGAGCCCGATGTGGACTTGATCCCAGGACCTTGGGATCATGACCTGAGCCGAAGGCAGATGCTAAACCGAATGAGCCACCCAGGCACCCCATAATTGCTTCTTGCTATTCAAATTATTTTATGTAAACCTAGTTAATTAACAATCATATGACAAATATAGCAATTTGCATACAAGAAAAAGTAACCATCAGTAAGAGACAACAGGAAATGTGACAAACTGCGACCGAAGAATTCATTTTTAATTCTCAAATGTCTGAATAAAACACACTCATTTGTAATAAGCAATGCAAGCAATACCCACTACAGTATTTCTAATAATATTAATGTATTCTTTTGAAAACATTTAAATTGTTTAAAAATTTGAAGAAATTCAACAGTTAATACAGGTTACATTATACCAAAGAAATGAATCTTTGGAAAAAAGGCAAAGTCAAATAGAATTTAAGAAAAATAGTATTAAGGAGGGCAAGTGTTGTGATGAGCACTGGGTGTTATATGCAACTAATCAATCACTGAACACTACATCAAAAACTAATGATGTACTGTATGGTAGTTAACATAATAAAAAATAAAATAAAATCTTTAAAAAAAAAAAAAAAGAACAATGGAGTCATATTTCAATACTTACTGGTCCCAGGCAGACAAACAACATGGCCTACTTCAGACTCTTTGTGGATTGTTTCAGAATTTCCTGAAGAGTGTAAGCCATGGGAAATCAGAGAGCTGTTATTTTCTGATTGAGATTTATAGCTATCATTTTCATTTGCCTGTTGAAAAAATATCTTAGCTGTATTTTTCTTAAATTAAAACCAAAAAGTTTTAGGGGAAAAACATGAGAAGCAGAGAATGACTTCTTGACAAAAGGATGCCAGGTAATTAATGTAGAAGGAACTGGAAACATCACCATTATAATCACCATAGGAATAATTGTTTCTAGGAGGCCTAAGCAATGATACTAAATCCAGTTTGTGAAAGGTTCTTGGAGAATAGGAAGTTCACATGGCCCCAATGCATCATTCCCCAGATTACTTATTGATAACAAAGGAGAAAAGAAAGGCACCTACACAAGGAGACATCTAGCCAACAACACATTAACCAAGATTATCAAACACAACATCACCAATAGTGGAACCAACAGATTTCTACATCTCCTGATGTGATACAAGTAGAAGCACATATCATCCTTATGTTTAATCTTAACCTGTTCATGATACACATGCTTACTTTGAATTCTTGCCAAAATCTTTGATCAGGAGGGGAAAAAAGCAATCAGATATAACCAGCTTATGGGTCATTTTACATAAAAAACTTTAATGACATGGAAGAACTACTCCAAAGTGAAATACTAAAGAGATAGTACAACCAGAAGCAACTGTAATCCTTGATTAAATCCTAGATCAAAAACAATAAAAGTGAAGGACATTTTGGAGACAACTGGATAAATGTGAATATGGACTGTATATTCATTTACATTACTGTATCAAAGTTAGATAACAGAAGTGAGATTATGCAGGAAAATATCTTTATTTGCAGTAAAAAAATGTCAAAGTATTAGGGTGACATGTCAAAATATCTGCAAATTCCTCTTAAATGATACAGGAAAAAAGTATTCATGGAGGAACAAAGAAAACATAAAGATGGCCAAATGTTAACAATTGGTTAATTTGGATGAGGGGCATACACATGTTCATTGTGATATTCTTCAATTTTTCTGCAGAGGAAGGAAAAGTAAGAAGCAGCAAGAAAGGACGGACAAGGTATTTCTCATCACTTTCTATCTGGAAAAACAGAGACCAAAAAAAACCAAAAGCTTCTGTTTTATGGTAATATCTAATGAGACCAGTAATAGTTTTCTAAAGTCAAATTTCTGAAAAACCGTAAGATTGGAACATACCTGACATGGATCACTTGTAGGTAATTTAAAATCTTTTTCTGGATGTTGCTGTTCTAGGTCTTCATATATCATTCCTGGAATAGCCAGTTGCTCAAAGTAAGCCTCCAAATGTTCATCATAAAACTCTTCATCATCAATATCATCTATTGGTAAAATGGTAAAAAAAGAAAAAGGAAACGTTTTAAAGTACTGACTGAACTATAATATTTAATCAAAAGGATTGATAAAGACTTCTGAGGAAGAAGGCAGAGTAGGAGGTCCCTAAACTCACCTCGTTATATGGATACAACTAGATAACACCCACATAAGTGCGAATAACCCAGAAAAGGATCCAAAGACTGGCAGAGCAAACACTCCACAGCTAAATGTAGAGAAGAGGCCACATCAAAGAGGATAGGAAGGGCAGAAACATAGTCAGGAGCTAAATAAACCCATGGGATCAAAAGGGAGGGATTCCAAGGGTGCAGAGAGGGGAGAGAAACAGACCCTCACACCAGGCAGCCTAGGCATGGGGAAGACAAATCCCCAAGACATTTGGCTTTGAAAAACACAGGGGTCAAATTTCACAAGTTCTTTCAATCACTGGGGCATACCACCTGGAGCTTTAAAAATCAGTGGGCTTGGCTCTGGCAGAGCCAAGAGGGCAAAAGGAAACGGGGTCTCTGCCTTTAAAAAGTACAACAAACAACCCTGCAGGGATACAACACAGAAGCAACAGTCTGAAAACCACCTAGGGTATGTAGGAGATTTGTTGACTAATTTTGGTGTATATGCTGGAGGAGCAGGGATCTTTGGGAGACTTCAGGAAAAAGGAGCTGGTAGGCACTATTTCCCTTCCCTACTCCCCAGTCTAGATACACAAACACCTCTGGGGACCAGTGTGGCTAAGACACTCACTAGGTAACTTGCTAACAGTGCAACCTGCCCCACGTTCTCCTGCAGCTACACCCCTTCCAATATGCTCTTGGCCAGAGCACATCCAAAGTAGTGCCACAAGCCTGGCAGTGTGCAAGCAGCCCTGACAACGGTCAGCACCACTCCAAAGTGACTTCTGCCCCAGGGAGAAAGAAAGATAACCACATACTTATCAAGACTGTGGTCCCAGGAGTAGGCTGAAGACAGACAGCTAATCTGACTGCAGGCCCCACCCACCAATGAAAGCTTCCCAGGGGACAACACAGAGAAAGCGCCTTGCAGTTTGGTGCTACCACAGCTCTGGAAACACCTGGTCTGACTCAACTCAAACCCAAGGCAGCCCCAGACTGGCCCATTACAACACAGGGACCAAACCCTGCCCATAACAGACAAAAGAAACTGCAGATGACTGCACTGAAGGCAAAAGTGGCTCAGCCACAACAGCAGGGCACACGCAACACACACAGGAGACACCCCTTAAGCACCAGGTTCTGGTAAACAGGGGAAACTGCACTGGGGGGCACTACAGGACCTCTTCATAAGGCAGCTACTTTCAAGAGCAGGAGATGTAGCTGACTGTCGAACCACACAGAAACAGACACAGAGAGTTAGACAAAATACAGAGGAACATGTCCCAGATGAAAGAACAGGACAAAAATCAAAGCAATAGACCTAAGATAAGTAATATTCCTATGGAGAATTTAAAGTAATGGTCATAAAGATATGCACTGACTAGAAAAAAGAGTAGAGGACATCAGTGAAACCCTTAAAAAGGAAATAGAAAACATAAAAAAGAACCAAAGTTGAACAATTTCATAACTAAAATTAAAAATACATGGAATAGATGAACTAAATAGACTAGATAAAGCACAGGAATGGATTAGCAACCTGGAAGACAAAATAATGGAAAACAATCAAGCCGAACATAAGAGAGAAAGAAATAATAAAGTGAAAATAGACTTAGAGAACTCAGTGACACCATCAAATGCAGTAATATTCACATTATAGGGATCCCAGAAGGAGAAAAGAGAGAAAAGGGGGCAGAAAATTTATTTGAAGACACAACAGCTGAAAACATCCTGAATCTGGAGAAGGAAACAGAAATCCAGATCCAGAAGGCACAGAGCCCCCAACAAAATCAACCCAAGGAGGTCCACACCAAGACACATAGCAATTAAAATGGCAAAAAATAGAGATAAAGAGAGAATTCTAAAAGCAGCAAGAGAGCTGGGGCGCCTGGGTGGCTCAGTCAGTTAAGTATCGGACTCTTGATCTCAGCTCAGGTCTTGATCTCAGGGTTGTGAATTTAAGCCCCACGTTGGGCTCCATGCCTTAAATAGATAAAAATAAAAATAAATAAAAGCAGCAAGAGAAAAGAAAACAGCTACATGCAAGGGAATCCCCATAAAGTTATCAGCGGATTTTTCAGCAGAATTCTGCAGGACAGAGGGACTGGCATGATATATTCAATTGGCTGGAACGAAAAAACATGCAGCCAAGAATACTCTATCCAGCAAGGCTATCATTCAGAATAAAGAGAAAGATAAAGAGTTTCGCAGACAAACAAAACTTAAAGGACTTCAAGACCATTAAACCAGCCCTACAAGAAATGTTAAAAGGCAATTCTTTAACTAGAAAGACGGTAAGTAGGAGTACGAAAGGTAAGAAGCACAAAAGCAGTAAAAGTAAGTATATGTATAAGAATTAATCAAGGGATTCACAAAATAAAAGGATGTAAAGCATGACACATAGCTAAAACACACACATATACCTAAAACGTGGAGGGGAGAGAAGTAAAGAATGGGTTGAAACTTAAGCGACCATCAAATTAATAGACTGCTATATGCAGAAGATGTTATATACAAACCTAATGATCACCACAAATCAAAAATCAGTAATAGAAAAGGAAATAATAAAGAGAAAGGAATCCAAGTACATCACTAAAGAATGCCACCAAACCCTGAGAAAAGAGCAAGAGAAGAAAGAAACAGAGAAGAACTACATAAACAGACATAAAACAAGTAACAAAATGGGCGCCTGGGTGGCTCAGTCGGTTAAGCGACTGCTTTCGGCTCAGGTCATGATCCTGGAGTCCCGGGATCGAGTCCCGCATCGGGCTCCCTGCTCGGCAGGGAGTCTGCTTCTCCCTCTGACCCTCCCCCCTCTCATGTGCTCTCTCTCATTCTCTCTCTCACAAATAAATAAATAAAATCTTTTAAAAAAAAAAAAAAAAAAAAAAAAAAACAAGTAACAAAATGGCAGTACATACATACTTATCAATAATTACTTTGAATGTAAATGGACTAAACACTCCGATCAAAAGATACACGGTGACCGAGTGGATGAAAAAGCAAGACCCATCTATAAGCTGACTATAAGAGACTCATTTCAGACCTAAAGAACCATGCAGATTGAAATTGAAGGAAAGAAGCATGTATCATGCAAAAGGAAGTGAAAAGAAAGTCAGGGTAGCAATATTTATATCGGGCAAAATAGAGTATAAAACAAAGAAGGTAACAAGAAACAAAGAAGGACACTATATAAACATAAAGGGGACAATCCAACAAGATATAACAATTATAAATATATATGCACCCACCATGGGAGCACCCAAATACATTAAGCAACTGATAACAAATATGCAAAATGTAAGCAACAGTAACACAGTAACAATATAGGGCTTTAACACCCCACTTACAGCAATGGAGAGATCATCCAAACAGAAAATCAACAAAGAAACAAGTGACTCTGAATGACACGCTGGACCAGATGGATCTAATAGATATATTCAGAGCATTCCATCTTAAAACAGAATACTCGCAAGTGCACAAGAAATATTCTCCAGATTAGATTACAAAGTAGACCACAAAACAAGTCTCCCCAAATTCAAAAAAACTGAAGTCACACCATGCATCTTTTCTTAGCACAACACTATGAAACCAGAAATCAAACACAAGAAACTATCTGGAAAGAACACAATTACATGGACGTTAATAACATGATACTAAGCAATAAATGGGTCAACAAGAAATCAAAGAGGAAATCAAACAATACATGAACAAATGAAAATGAAAATACAACAGTCCAAAATCTTTGGGATGCAGCAAAAGCTGTTCTAAGAGGAAAGTTTGTGACAATACAGACCTATCTCAAGAAGCCAAGAAAAATCTCAAACAATCTAACCTTACAAATAAAGGAGCTAGAAAAAAAACAAACAAAACCCAACAACAGTAGAAGGAAGGAAATAATAAAGATTAGAGTAGAAATAAATGAAATAGAAACTAAGAAACAATAGATCAATAAAACCAGAAGCTGTTTCTTTGAAAAGATAACAAAATCGATCGATTTTTAGCAGTACTCATTTAAAAGAGAGAGAACTCAAACAAAATCAGGAATGAAAGAAGATAATTAACAAATGACACCAAAGAAATACAAAGGATCTTAAGAGAGTATTATGAAAAATTATATGATAACAAATCGGGACAACGTAGAAGAAATGGATAAATTCATAGAAACATGTAACATCCCAAAAGTGAATCAGGGAAAAATAGGAAAACTGAACACACTGATTATCAGCAAAGAAATTTATTTTACTTTTTTTTTTTAAGATTTTATTTATTTATTTGAGAGAGAGAGAGAGGAGGGGCAGAGGAAGAGGGAGAAGCAGACTCCTCACCGAGCAAGGAGTCTGACGCGGGACTCGATCCCAGGACCCCAGGATCATGACCCAAGCTGAAAGCAGATGTCCAACTGACTGAGCCACACAGGTGTCCCACCATCAAAGAAATTTAATCAGTAATCAAAAACATGCAACCAAGTCTAGGACCAGATGGCTTCACAGGTGAATTCTACAAAACATTTAAAGGAAAGTTAGTATCTATTCTTCTCAAACTCTTCCAAAAACTAAAAGAGGAAAGAAAGCTTCCAAATTCATTCTATCATTACCCTGATACCAAAATCAGGTAAAAACACTATTAAAAAAAGAACTACAGGCAAGTATCTCTGTTGAACAGAGATGCAAAAATCCTCAACAAAATATTAGTAAACCGAATCCAACAATACATTAAAAAAAACTCATCACAATCAAGTGAGGTTTATTCCTGTGATGCAAGGGTGGGTTGATATTCGCAAGTCAATGAACATGATACAACATATTAACGAGAGAAAGGATAAAAACCATATGAACATTCCAACAGATGCAGAAAAAGCCATCTGACAAACTACAGTA